AGGGGCTATTGCCCCTACAAGCCACTAGTAAAAACAGGTAATTTCATAGTAGTGTAGTGAAAATCTATAATACGGTATATTTAAAATAATTCTGATTTTCTTTTCCAAGTCAGTTCGGCTCTTATACCTGACTGATTCTCATAATTTTTCTCTTAAATTAAAAGTATGCATGCATTTTTTAAATTGCATTTTTTTTAATTTTTTTTATTCTTAGTTCAATCAATTAATCAATTATCTTTATTTGTCTTTGTACATAAATACAAGAAATGGCGTAGCATGTACATAATATAACATCACCTATATATATATACACCCAATATACTGTAACATCAACATAGTTTGTAGTTGTAGGATCACCAACCCCAGACAAACCTACACTGCTCCCAATGCAAACTCACATACAAGTAAATTAGTCCTGAAGGGAGTATACATTTTTTTCTATTAAGATTGTTTTCAGTTTTGCCTTAAATTTGTTTGCATTGTTTTCTAATCTTAGTTCATCTGTATTGCTGTAAGAAATTTGTTCCCCATTTTTTTCTATTAAGATTGTTTTCAGTTTTGCCTTAAATTTGTTTGCATTGTTTTCTAATCTTAGTTCATCTGTATTGCTGTAAGAAATTTGTTCCCCATATAGGTGGTTTTTTCTTATACAATTGTAATCTGTGTTTCTCTAACTTTGTTTCAAATTTCCTCCGTGTGTTATAGTAGTGTGTAGATTCGATTTGTGATTTTGAGCTTATAAACAAATCCCACATGATATAAGTGAATGTATAAGAGCAAAATAGATCTTTTAGCGAATTTCCCAGGGAATAAGCTATTACCGTAGTACTCACGGTAAGACCTGGACCCGGGACCGATTTTCTTTTTCGTTTTGAGGTTCCTAGAGGCCAAAAACACCATCCGTTCAAATTCATATATATTTATATTTATATATATATATATTTATATACAGACTGTTCCAAAAGTCCCGGACCGGTTTAATATTTTCTAAACGAAAACAGATAAATCAATAAGATTTTGCACATCAACACCACACCTAAAAATCTACTTTTTTAAGGAACTATCAATTTTCTGTCATATCATGGGGACGTCCCGCAAGGAGTCAGAAGGAAATCTTAAATAGAAGCATAGGTTCATATGTAGATCAAATTAAAGACCTTTACTAGCAGAATATAATGCCGCAAATTTGAATTCAAACGGTACTGTATATATGTGTCCGTTAGCACGATAACTCGAGCAAGAATGATCCAATTTTGATGAAATTTGGTATAATAATTGTGTAAACCTACATCTATTCTAACGAGTTCGTGAACCAGCATGATCGGACCATGGGAACGGGGGTTTATGGGGGTTTTAAGGGAAAAATGGGTTTTTCCGATTTTTGACCCTAAAAACATAAAACTTTGGAATTTCTTTCCCAACCACTTTGTAGAGCTTAAAAAAAGAAATAATCTTAATATATAAAAGAAAGTTGTGTTAGTTATACCGGTCAGGTAAAACAGAAACAGCAGCGGACCAAAAATGGATCCCTGTGGGACCCCACATGAGATCAGGCATTGGTCCGATGCTGCACCTGTGACCCTATTCTTGCACTTGCAGAAGGTATTTATTTCTACATATTGATAGCGTTCTGATAAATATGATTCAAACCATTTATATGAAACTCATTTTACTCCAAAAGCGGATAGTTTATTTAAAAGAAGTTGATGATCTACACATTCAAAAGTTTTTGTTAAATCCATAAAAACACCAATTACAGGTTCACCTCTGTCTATCGATTCTATTATAGATTCTAAGAAATTGACTGCTGCGCTTAGAACAGTCCTCCCTGGACAAAAACCATGCTGGGTATCATCAAGAATATGATTATATTGCAGAAAATCAGGCAGTCTTTTATATATAATTATTTTGTATAATTTTTAGAATGAGGGCCAGATTGATATTATTGTTTGTTTTGCATAAATTGATTCTCTTCATTTCTATACATAGTTTGTCCAACATAGGCTTTAAAAAAAAGTAATTTTATAACTCTTAATTCTCAGAAAATAAAAAGGGTCTCTCAAAAATTACAGCATAAACATGGAAATGATATCACCATTTTAAAATTTTAGACTCTAGTAGGCCCACTCTGGAAAAATGAACTATGTAATTTATAGTTTTTGTGCCCAATGTCATCTCCCTCTTCATTTAGTACCAATACCAGAAACTTGTTCCAAACACCAACGAATTCTGAATTTATATGGTTGTTAACTTGGTATAACTGTTCATCATCATTATCATTCATTCATTATCGTTACTTTAAGATAGTGATGCTCACCTCACAGTGCAGTACAGGTCTTGTAAATATACATTTCAACTAAAACATTGTTGTATTCATGTTTATATTCATGGGGTTTGCGTCAACTGTCCTCGTGAAGGCGTTAAGGAATATTTGACATATTTCTGTTACTAGGCCTTTTATAGGTATTTATATTTTTGACTTACAGTAATAAATTTGAATTTGGGATTGTTTACATCAGCCTAGTATAATAGAAAAAGGGCAAAAGAAAACAGTAAAAAGTCAAGGATATTTTTGCGGTTCCTAATGCTTTTTTAAGACAGCTAGTGTTACTGAAACTGAACTGGAACTGCTGGTGTTGCTGGAATTCATGGCTCATAGGTGCTTCGTACTAGATTCAAGATTCAAAATTCAAAATAACTTTATTCATTTTTCATAAATGTGTACATAGAATAGCGTCAATTTAAAAATTTGTCTAACTTACTACATTATACAAAAACATTATATGTTAATGATTTCACTGCAATATACATGAAATAGACATAGAGATAAGTTTATATAATTACATTAATCAAAAAAACTTAACATATAACTACTTGGTGATGTGCGTATTTTAAGCTGAGTTTAAGGTGAATGTATTTATTTCAAGCTTAATGATAGCAAGGATAGCTATTGTCCCAATGTATACATACATTTATAAATCTGATATGCTTTAGCAGGCTTAGGCTTATTAACGTGCAGCCCCACAGTTTTGTAATTGGGTGCTGTCCTGTAATCTATTATATTATTAAAGTGATACAATCAAATTTTATGTAAACGGTTAAGGCCATTTACCGAATAAAAATATAGGCATATAGCATATCAAAATGAAGCTTAGAGTGTGTAGATTTGCTGAAAAGTATTGATGTGGACGAACTCCCTAAGGGATCCGCCCCACAGGCTGATTTCCAAAGGTCATGCATGATATGGAAGTTAACGTTATTCGATTAATTTAGTGAACAACAGCTGGTCAATGCAATTGACAGTATAGTTTGTTTGTTTACATTTTTGTTTACTTATTTTATTAATGAGGTGTGGTGAATGGACCAAGGCCGTAGCCAGGGGGGGGGGTTAGGGGGTCAAAACCCCCCCCGAAATCCCGAAATTTAGTAGTAAACATTAATACTGGGTTTAAAATTAAATTATAAAATTTAAATCATAACAGAGGATCCAACAACATAACAACGTTGTGCATTGCATGCATACTAATATTTTAGATTTTTTAATTAAAATACAAGATACAAAAATGCACAAGTATAAATATCACATGGATGCAGTAGGTTACTGCCTTACTCCCTAGTCTTTGCCGTGCGCTGCGTGACTGTAGTGTGTGCGTGCGGTGCGAACCAGAATATAGCATATTAACTCATAGGCTAGGGGGCACTAGGTACAGGGTGCAGGCGGCAAGACACCAACCAACACGTACTGGCGCCGCCGTCTAGGTTAAGGTTATAAATGGGGAAATGGGAGGTTTTGCACACAGTTCTACTAGACGTTAAAACTGGCTGTAGAAAGTCACCCAATGGCTTTTAGGAGGGATGGCCGTAGTCTACAGTGTGTTTTAAAATTCATGAATGCAACCGTCATTGTTTAATTTTTTAAATGTCTATTTGCTCATGACAAACAACAGGTGAAATGGGAGTTTATATGGACAATTGGGCACGGTTTTAGGTGTTAAAAATGGCTTTAGAAAGCCACCAAATGGCTTTGAAAATTCCAAATTTTCCTGGGGGGGACCCCCAGACCCCCTGCTTTGGCCACCCTCTTGTCAAGGTCCTAAAACCGACATGACCCCCCCCCAAAAGTTTGTCCTGGCTACGGCCTTGGAATGGACTCTGAAGCTATTTCTAGCTGTTTGATAGAAGTGAGTGATTAAAAATGTTCGAAACAGTATGAATATGAGATTAACAAACCATATATGTTGTTTGTTCCAAGAGGTTGTCACGGATCTTTAATAGGTAGCCAGTTTATTGAAAAGTGTTTAAGTAAAGTTTTGAAGACGTCGTGAAAGTCGAGAGCGGCGAGTTCAGGTACAACCGTACCCACCTCGGCCACCTTATAAGGTATGAAGGTTCCACTGCTTTTAACATGCTTTCAGATGACAATTTCTCGAACTTGGGCCTTTTAAATGAAAATATAAAGGCAAATTTGATCAAATTAATTTAATGGTGGTTTCTGTACACCCGTGAATTCGCGGGTAGAACCTCTTGTTATGTATTATTTTGTTACTATTGGTTTTGTAGCCAAAATATATTTGTTGTTGGTTGTATGAGGTTTTTTCTCAAGTTTTTTGGCGGTGTTGATGTAAAGCATGAGGATTGCTTCCTAGACGAGATATTGAGAAAAAACTATTATATCTGGTTTATTAGGATAACAAAGTTAAGTATTTCTGAGGTAAGAGAATAATAATTGTGAGTAGAGAAGAGACTACCACAAAACCAGACATTTACAGTTATTAAGTTCACAATTTTATATCAGGGCATTTGTATAGCTTACATAAATACACTGATGTGAATGTTTTAAGAAAAAAATATCCTAGTAATTTTTCCTACACGGAGAAAAGGTCTATAGTCATGCTAAGAACACTTAAGCACTGCTGACGCATTTTAAAGGGCTGCAATTCCCGAGCGTTGTGCACCTGTTTATACAATTTTTCAGCTTGAAATCAAATGATAACTGTTTTCAGCCTCTAATCACGTTGCGTTCTTCTCAACAGAATGATTACAGATCTCAAGCATATCGTCAGTTTAACTTTGTTAAGTCTGATTGTATTGACTGGTAATGTGGTTTCATACAGATGTTTCTGTCCATGTAAGTATTTATAAACACTCACTTATAATAGCATGTAAATAATAAGATGAGCATATAAGATACCTATGCATATAAAATAAGAAAACTGACTCCCAAAAATTTCAAAACGAACCACAATAACAATAAACAGTATCAGCAATTCGACACATATTTTCTCCCATAAACTTGTCAACAACTTTTGTCATGAGTAAGCGGTGGAGGTAACTATGATATTTTATAGGTAAAAATCACAAAAGTTGCAATAACTTTTGAGCCGTAATTGTTCCAGCAATGGTTGCACTATTTTTTTTTTATTATAAGGACCATAACACATTAATTTTAATCAAAACCGGATTTTTTTCAAAAATCCGATTTTTTTAATTTTATGGGGGTTTTTATGGGAAAATTACATAAGTTAGGAAAACTTTTTAACCACAATTTTTACGGATATGGGATTCGTACCATTTTGTTCAAAATTTAAAGGACAATATTCTAATTTTAATCTAATCTCTCTTCTTTTTAAATCAGATTTTTGTTATGCTATGGGGTTTTTATGGGAAAATAACATAAGTTACAATAACTTTAGAACCGTAATTTTTACGGGAATGGGGTTTGTACCATTTCGTTTAGAATTTAAAGGACTATAACTTACTACATTTTTAACAAAATCATTTGGGCCATTTTCGAAAAAATCTGATTTTTTGTTATTTTACGGGGTTTCATGGAAAACTTCCATTAACAATAAAAATATTAAAAATGAAACACTTAGAGATACCATGGATTAGTACCATTGACTATTGGATACAGAAGTTGTTGTATTATTAGTCAAAGTTAGTACTTACATACCAAATTTCATCAAAATCGGACTACAGGTGTGGTATATAGCTCTGTACACATCCACACTACAGACACACACACAGACATCACTTTGAAAACCACTTTTTTGGGTCCAGTCCAGGGGGACCCAAAACGGATATATCCACTCAAAACTCAAACTCCGAAATGTTGACAAAAACAATACTTTCTACATGTACTATGGTTTGGGGAGGGAAAGTAAAAGTCACTACAGTACCCAACAAGAATAAATTGTCAACATTAACCCTGCTATTTTAATTAGTGGTGGTAAAAACACAATCTAATCTTCTATCTATCTATATATTAATTACGTAAGCCGATTCTTTGCGTCAAAATTGTGGGCGACTGGGAAGTCCTATAATGACGGCAGAGGGCTCAAATTAAAGGTCTCTATCCCGTGACGGCGGGAAAAATAGTGAAATCCCCCAAATTTTAACACATAATTAGATATAACGTAAAATGTTCTCCATTAGAATAGCATTAGAATCCATTTACTGCTGATTTTTGTTTACTTCAATACAGCTGATCGTGATTTATCATTAAGCAAGTAAGCTTACATTTGGTTTACTCATTTGCCAGTCAATTCTGCAATGTAATGTATACTATATAAAACCAATTATATAAAGGGATAACGTTACCCTTAATAATCAAGACTTTTTAGTTATGTCAAAGTTGAAATAAATTGTTTTCAAGATTAAAGAAACGATTCAAGATAAAACGAAGATCTTCTTTGTTTTGATTTCAAAACATATGTTAAAGATTTATTCCACACTTTTTTGTAAATTTACTAACATTTATATTTGAGATTTATTGTAGTGTTTAATCAATATTTTGTAAGAAGTGAAATAACCTCAACGGTTACTCTTAGAAAACAATTTGGGAATAAACACGAAGTAGGTTTGTACAGGTATTTGTTCATTAAGTACTTAAGTACTTTGTTAATTGCTCCAAGCAAAAAAGGTTCAAATAATATAGCCTATCATGCACGGTAGAAAAGAAAGTGCACCTATATATAACAGTAGAACATAGAGGTAATTTCCGTTTCTTAAAACTAACAAAAAGTATTTATGCCGTGATTAGTTTCGATAACTGGGTAATAGAACCCTAACCAGTCGCAAAATAGTTAGTAATTAAACGTTAGGCCCTTTTTAGCGAATTTCCCTATAGGGAAGTAGCTATTACCGTAGGTCTCATGGTAAGACCTAAGCCCGGGACCGATTTACTTTTTCATTTTGATGTCCCCAGAGGCCAAAAACACCATTCGTTCAAATTTGTATATATCTATATATATATATATATATATATATATAAATGTTAAATAGTTTTGTTATAGTATAATATTTTAAGCTGAATGAATATTTAGTATGCAATGGAACAATGATTCAGTCTAATTTAATAATAATTTGGTCAGCTGGTTTATTGGTTTCAAAATAAATTAAATGAAAAGAACATGAGTTTTATTAGCTAAATAATTTAAACTGTTAATTTTGAACATTATATATATATATATATACTAGCTGACCCGGCGAACTTCGTATCGCCTAAGTTATAGGTTTCCCCTAAGACAGACCGATGGAAAGAAAGTACCGTTACGTTTAATTTTCAAGATGATCTCGTTCGCATCGCTCAATCACGTCCTGGTTGAAGTTCGTTCGCTACGCTCACTCACCTTTGGGTTGGAGCTCGTTCGCTGCGCTTACTTGCCTTTAGGTTGGAGCTCGTTCGCTACGCTAACTCGCCTCCAGGTTAACTCGTTCGCTACGCTAACTCGCCTCCAGGTTGAAGTTCGTTCGCTACGCTCACTCACCTTTTGGTTGCAAATTAGCTGTTGTCATAAATGTAAAAGAAATAATAGTGCTGCACCCTGTTGGTAATCCTTGTAACTTTAATGCTATTGAACATCATAGAACAGAACCAACTTGTTTAATTGAAACAGCTGTTAAGATTCATTAATTCCATTTCTCATAAGGTTAACATGGGAAACTCCAGAGCCACTGGGGCGGAGCCCTTTTAAGAATTTCGAAACGGGAAATAGTTTAAGTCCGATTCGCATACCTACAGAATTTACACACCAAATTTCATTACGATCGGTGAAGTCGTTCCGGAGGAGTTTGCAGACAAACACTGTGACACGAGAATTTTATATATTAGATATATATGTGTCCATCCGCACGATAACTTGAGTAATTTTTGTCCGATTTTGATAAAATTTGGTTTGAAGGTGTAAGGCGGGATAAACTTGAATGAGTTCGCGAACCAGCATGATCGGACTATGGGAACGGGGGTTTATGGGGGGTTTTATGGGGTAAAAATAGGTTTTTCCCATTTTTGCCGCTAAAAACACAAAATTTCACAATTTCTTTTTAAACCACTTTGTAGAGCTTAAAAAAACAAATAATTTAGTATATTGAAGCGTTATTATGCGCCTAATTGTTACGGAGAAAATTAAAAAAAATTGTAATTTTAAAATTCCCATGTTATTCTTATGGAGAATAAGTCAACTGTTGTAGTTTGCTTGTTTATGAACATATTTTGATCGATTTTGAAAATACTTTTATTTCTTACTAAACTATTATCATTTTATAAAAAAATCTTTTTTACCCTCCCTGTTGCAGCAAACCTAAGGTACTTGTTAAACTAATTCTATTTAAATAGAAAATAAATGTGCTATTTTTATGGAGGCATTTTAGTGTAAATCCAATCAGGTCAATGGAAATTCGCTTAGTCTGCAGGTTTGCTGCGGCGGGGGTATTTTGTAGAATATGTAAATCAATCGCACCTTAAGGAGGATTACCACCACATATACTTACTCTAGGCTAATAACTTGTACTCACCTGATGACAGGGCCGGATTTAGCATTTTGGCGCCCCTAGGCCCAAATAATTTTTCCGCCCTCTGTTCTGGTCACAGTTTCTTTCCTACAAACCTTTATTAAAAACTATATCATGCCTAAAGGCCTATGTTAATTGCTTGAACACCACTCCTCGTCGGAATTTTATCATTGCAAGTTTTTTTTTAGAATTATCTTGTTTAGCCTCAACAAAATGCCGTCTTAAACACTTTTGGCAATTTTATGCTTTTAGCAAATGCTCGCTCACGCTTGTGGGCAGTGTTGCCACCGCGTTGTTGCGATTTTACCCTAAAGGCGGGCTAAAATTACCCTAAATCTACTTTGAGTTACCCTAAAAATTACCCTAAATGTTAATATTTGCGTTTAATGCTATAAAACATTGTTAAAATCATATAAATCTTATATAAGGTGGTTAATTATACAAAATGAAGTTCCAATACCAATCAATTTACGTAAAATTATACTCGATTCTAAAACACCACCCGAAAGAAGAACAAAATGTTGATATTGATCAGCTCTATCGACTATCGTATAGCGAAAAATATCGAATCAAGAACTATCGTATTTTTTTTACTGTATCGACCCATTACTACTGTTTTTGAACAATCATATCTTTAAAATACAGTACGGTACCACCAAAGCTTTAATCTATACATAGTACACATTTCTTGACACAATTTGTAAAATAATCCAGTTTAATTCAATTCAATCACATAATTAAATATCAAACCCAGTAACGAATAATATTTCATATTTTATTAGGCCTATAACGTGTTATAGAATCGAATACATTCTAAAACAGATAATTCCCAACTATTGATAAGATCGATTAGGATAACTTATTAAGAAAAATTCATCATAGCAATCGATTTAAACCGGTTGAATCGAATATGATGGCTTGGCCATAGTATTTAATGAACGTTTTTTGCCAAATTTTGAAGTTTTTTTCATTTTTTTAGTAAAATTTCCATTGTTATGCTAACTTTTAGTTTTACCCTAAAATTACCCTAAATCTACCATTACCCTAAACTTTACCCTAAGACCAGTAAATTACCCTAAAAAAGGGTAATTACCCTAAAAGTGGCAACACTGCTTGTGGGACTGAAACAAAACAATCCAACCCACAGAGCATTTCTGCAAAAAAAGCATGTCCACTAATTCCAATTTCAGGCCCCAAAACATGAACTCCATAACAGTACGTGATACCATAGATTAAACATAGGCCTTTAGTAGATTTATCATCCTTAGGGATTAGCTGAAAACAATTCTTTTTATTTAAGTTATATGTTATTTAAACCTAGTTTGTCCAAAATAAAACGATCTAATCATAAACAATAGGTCGTCCCCTGGTTATATTACAAGAAACTAAGCCCCTCACAACGACAACATAGAATAATAGAAACAAAATTACGTCAAAACTAACTTCCAGTGTGACCAGGGTTTCTAATCCACTTCAGTAATTTTCCCCACCACTTTACCTAAAAATACCCACTATTACCCACTCAGCTTGAATAAGAGTAATATGTGGTGTAATGACATAAAATATATAATTGAAATATATATCAAACTATTTTACCCAAAATAAATGGACATGATGTATTTTTGTAAAAAAAAAACTTTAACCCAATTAAATATTTTTTATCTAGCTTGTCTGATATGTGGTTTGAGTAAATTATGATTCACTTTCCATAGAACTTTACATAACTATAAGTAAAACCATTGACTATATATACCTACAGACGTATATTTAGTCAATGATACAACTTAAGGGTTTAGTTGCAGAGTTAATTTTGTTACAAGTCAATGTTAGCAACGTTGTGTTAGGCAAATAAAATGAAACCATGGACTATTTAACATCAAATAAACTAAAAAGATGGCACCGCACTTAAAGTTATTTAACTAAAAAATAAACTTTTTTTAGGCTGATGGTAAACACGAATGCGTTACGTTGGTAATTTAATAACATTGTCTATTGAAAATATAAATTATATAGGCCTAGAACTTATGGTAAGCTTAGGCCTACTTGAACTTATACTTGAAGGTAAAATTGAAAACAATGGTTGGCAATGTTTGGTTAATTTTATCAATGTTTTACATATTTAGGTAGTTTTTAGCAGCTTGAATTCGAATCCCATATTGGCTACACTGTACTGGAACGAGTGAACTTTAATCGAAGATCAGTGAATCAGAATATGACGTCACTGGTATCGAATGGATACGATACTAATGGTATCGATACTTTAGTTCCGATACTAATGGTATCGATACTTTAGTTCCGATACTGAGCCGGTATCGTTACTTTTTTGCGATACGGTATCGATACCAAATATCGGAAAGACAGTGGTATCGCAACAAGGAATTATCGAAGAAGTGGAAGAAGAAAAAAGGCTTTGCTGAAGGCAAAAAAAGTTGCCAATGTTTTTAAGGTTTGATTCTAAACATGAAGCCTGCTAAAGCAGAAACTTCCCAATGCACTAAAAACGAAAAATACCATGAAGCGAGCATGAAATACCCTATTTTACCCACTAAAATAGAATACCCGCAAAAATACCCACCATAGCTTAAAATACCCACAAAGTGGGTAATTACCCACCAATTCGAAACCCTGAGTGTGACCAACATATATAAACTAGACATGAAAAACTATATTTAGGATTGACAATATGATAACAAATCGACTTGAGTTTATGGTTAATCTATGGTGGTACTGCATTCTGATTATATTTGCAAAGCAATAGTCCGGCCAACCATAATTATTCTCAGGTCTGAGCTGAGAAGGAAATTACATCAAATGGTGCTTTGGAGGGGATTTAATTTTTCTAAAACCTGTTGCAAACTCAGATATTTTTTTCGTTATTCAATTTTAAAGATAAACTTGTCGTATTTTTAATATTCAAAACGTATTATATATTTTAACTCGACCCTGCAGTGCAGGTTGCTGTAAACTGATCAAAAGATTAGTTAATACATTTTCTTTTTGTTAATTAAGGGTGGTAACGGTGTCTAACACGCATACGCCCCCAATCACTCAGATCAGTGGCGCCGAGCCAGCAAATAGTGGCAGTGCAAAGAGTACAGTGGCAACTGGCAATACGATGCGGGATGCGTACCGCTCGGGCGCTCGACAACATCCCTACAGCCTACTCCCGTATAACCAATGTTCGTTATCAATGTTGTAAAAAAATTGATGTACAGTATAATGTTGAAAAACTGTTTATATTTTCTAACGGTTATTTCTTTTAATTAATTTAAAAATTATAATGCTTTATTGGCAAGAGTTTTTTTTTTTATCAACTCACAAAATATGTTAAGCTATGGCTATTTATTTTACTTTTAGACATTTAAAAAATATTTTTCCTCTCGGCCGTGCGCCCTCTGGGAGCTTGCGCCCATAGGCCCGGGCCTACCGGGCCTATTGGGAAATCCGGCCCTGGATGATGACCTCCTAGCAGGTTGAAACTAGTTGTGAAGACAACAATCGGATTGCAAGAATAAGGTTTTTACCTAACCCGCCATGTTAAACTTCCCTATCCTAAGCGTGATGTATTCAACTTCCTTACTTCTCGAGTGATGTAAAGTATCAAAAAACTCACTCGGTGATGTAATGAAACCCATTTAAATAACATTGAGTGGATAACGTAAAAATTATACCTCTATGGAGCCAACGACGTTCAACGCTAGAAATCAGCTGTGTGCTTAAATATTATTGTTATGTTTTGAAGAATTTTCCTAACCTAGCTTTTGTTTGTAAATGAACGTTACTGTTAGAAGATGAGTGAAATGGATAATGATTAATATTGTTCGTAACCTCCTGTATATTGTCGGGTCAGGTAAAATCTTGTACGTTACACGTTACGCAAGAGCGTGTTTACATCACTTAGGTAAATTATGCAACTCGCTTCCGCTCGTTGCACAACCTTCACCTGCGTGATGTAAAAACGCTCTTACTACACTTGTAAGGTAAATAGCTATTAAACCACTATTATAGTTAATAATAGTGGTTTTTTTTCATGTTCATCAGAAACAAATTTAGGGTTAAGTTCTGTCAATGGGATGCATTTACTTAAGACTAATTTTGTTAAACCTTTACAAAATGACCATAGACTTAGAAATAATAACTGGGTAGGGTAGGGGTGGTAATTTAGCGGTTTTGACCAAGAACTAAGTTTATGTCAACAAACCATTTTTTGCCTTTTCTTATTTTTGACGAAGACAATTTCCAATATTGTATTTCAATCGTGGAAGCCTTTTTATCAGCATTAACCAAAAAACCAAAAGCTACCTTAATAAACCAATATTTATTCTTTAGTAGTTAAACCTCTGGAATCATTAAAATTCTTTATTTAAATATAACAAACTGTTTTTGTTTGTTTTTTTTTACACAAAAGATATGTTGTACTGGGATATATATCCTGACACATATATAATTTGATTCTGAGTTTGTTTAAATATTACAATAATTTCTTTTCCATTTGAGGTTTTTAGGGACTTATGTCCCTCCAAGCCACTAGTTGTGTATTAAAACAATATTTTAACTGACACCACAAACATACACAAAACACAAAAAATATTTAAAAAAATCAATTTGGGTTGGATTTGTGTCTCCATGGATCGAAGTTAAGTATAGTCACACACTATCCTCCCTGCATATTATTGAATAAGGAAGATTATTTGGGCCTATTTCATCATGGCTACTATGTCTGGTGATAATTATTGTTTTTATTTTGGCTAGAGGTTCCAATTTCATACTATATCTAAAACCACTAATGATGTGAGGGAAACCTAATGTTCGTGATTAACACACCACTGGATATATAATGTACTGTCAACATTTGACCAGACACAGTTTGTTTGTTTGTTTGTTTTTTTGATTGGTAAATTAGTATGGATTTTACAAGCTATTTTTGTATAGTTGTATTCTTATTAAATTTAGTGTCATGCCAATTATGTAAGTTTTGATTAATATTTTGAAAAATCAAGATTATCATTGATGTTTACAATATAATAAATAATATTCGTATAAACAATTAAAATATATAATTACAACCATTTTGAATATGTAATTAACATTTAATTTATATAAACTTCAATAAATGTTAATTTTAAAATACTAAATTCCTAAATATTTTGTATTTAACAACATCATCAAACCTTGCGCTTTTCAAATTTTTCTAAAAATTAGTATATTTTTGAAAATATGTATTGTTATTCAACAGTGTGGCATATCTTTCCACTTATCACAGTAAGTCATTCAAAACTTGTGTCCTTTAAACATCTAAAATATAAATCTATCTATACCGATATGAAAAAATCACAAACAATAGGCTATATTAATATTAGCCGACCACATTATCTTTCATCAAACCCTCTCCAAGACTTACTTCATATCTTACAATGGCTACAAAAGTTCCTTTTACTTTAATCCTTTTCTTCAAGGCAAAGTTTTTCTTTTGGATTCCAAGCTGTATCTAAAATTTCAAATGTTTGGAATCGTGATTCTGTTTTTTTCTTATGGAGTTTTGTACTGTACTCTATAGGAGTTTAACAAATGTAGGTGTTATCATTATGTTATATTAAAGGAATTTGTAGTTTTTAATGTTCAAAAGGTAGCAAAAGTTTAAAAATTGATGATGTATGTAATGTTACAGTAAGAGGATCCAAATGCTATGGAGAGCTGGGCTGCCTGGACCTTAGCCCTGAATGGTACAATCCCAGGCTGAGACCTCTAAATCTCTTTCCACTAGCAAGGGAAATCATTGACACCAGGTTTATACTGTATACCAGGAACAACACACTTGAAGTAGGTTCATATATAGAGCTCGTGCGTTTCTTGGTGAAGTCTGGGGGTAGTTGGTTAGAGTGGCTCTGAACCGGTTTTTTAGGGGTGGGGGTATGCCGAAAATCAGTCTGCGGTCTCACCCTGCCCGAGCAACATCGCGGATACACTCTTTTACAAAAACATTTGGGATGCCAGTTCGTTTCTTAAAACTTAGTTTATTTTATAAGTTTACAGTGGTGTGAAAATACAATTTTTTTAGGCACTTTTAAGCCATAGTTTTGTATGATAGTAATGCATTATTTGTACTTGTTTTTGTCCACAACAAATCTCTGGCTCATTAACGAGTAATTTTTGGAGTATTAAAAATAGCGTAGGTACGGTACTCTAAATGTTAATATAGAGAAATTTTTAAAATATGCTATCCTCCCTTCATAAACATTTTCATATTCCTCTTACAGAAATTAGGCAAACAATTAGATATTTATTGAAAATACTCATCACACAACTGTCGTGCGAGCAACCGGAACCACCTCCACACCGCGGTCCGAATCCGAAGTCAGACTAGTAGCAGAATAGGACGACGACGTCAACTTCCCCTCTCGTGCTCGGCTCCCCACTTGCCACTACAGCCCCTCACACCCAGACTTCACGAAGAAATGCACAAACTCTATTATTTTTATCTGTCAACTATTTATAAAAACTAGCTGACCCGGTAAACCTTGTATTAGTAGTCAATGATATGTCAAGTTACATTTTAGTTTAACTTAATTTATTATTTTATGAAAGCAACTAGTTGCTATACCCGTTATTCACAACGGGGAGGGGGAGAGGACACACGGAAGAGAAGAAAAAATTGGTTTGGGTACAGTTTTGCAGAGAACCTATGATAAATTATTGGATTGAAAAAGTAAACTGCGTACACCTATGGACTATATTAATATATTCAATTTGAGTTTTGGACATATATACTTACCCAGCTTGAGTATATAAATAATAAATTGGTGTTTTTTAGTTTTATGGTAGGCCTACTGTAATCTCTTTGGTTTAATTTTAGTAACTGTGTAGCAAAACACCACCATTAAATCAAAACTTATATTAAAATTAGTGAAGTGCAAAAAAGAAGTTAAAATAAGATTAAATATTTTGTCAACGTCCTACTCAGGTGTAGACTACCAAGCATAAAATCCTCAGACTTTAAAATAGGATGTGAAATGTAGTGTAGTTTTTTGCACTAGATACAAAGTCAATGATAAATTAAAAGATAAGTAGTAGAATGTGCAAAAACCCTCTGTATTTGTGTTCAAATCATTCTTTATTCGTGATACACAGAGAACATGTATCGAATAGAGTCAAATATCTATCTATATCTATAAAAGAGGAACTATGTATGTATGTATATATGTATATGTACCTTATGGACTCCGAAACCGCTCAACAGATTGAAATGACACTTTCAGGCATTAAGCATTATTCAAGTTCATTGTGGATGTAGCCTCCGGATTGCCAAATAATATTAAAAAGGTTTAAATACCTGCTATTAAGCAATCCATTTAATTGCAGTTGCAACTAGTTTCGACTCCTATGTGGAGTCATCATCAGGCGGTACAAGGACTTCTTCTTTCTTCATATGAAGAGCGTCATATTTAACAAGTAAAAATAAATAAACATTTACACACGACACAAAACACGTTACGGACACGAAACATTTACTGATCAGTTACGACAACAGACGAAGCTAACCCGACGGAGTTTAAGTCCAGACTGCGGGTGGTCATTGCAGTGGTGTACGTCCGTTATCTTATCATTTCAGGTTAGGTCCTAGTCCTGTCTAACACACTTCCACTCTCCAGTATCCTTATGGCAGTGTCATATATAAAATTTGACGAAAACGTTTGTTGGTCGTTTAACACATTTTCGTGGTCGGATGTTACTGCCTTATAAATCTCAAACTCTTCTAAGGTGTTTAATTTAAATCTGTCTTTAGAGAAATGTAAAATATTCATGTTGTTACTAATGCTGGTATAATTATGGCCTTGAGAAATTAAATGTTCTGCAAAAGATGATGTCTGGTGTACTGTTGACGCTTTTGGGAGATGTTCCTTGAAACGTTTAGTAAAGGAGCGTGCCGTCTGGCCGATGTAAAATTTAGTACAATCGGTACAATTGATCTTGTATACGCCGGATCTGTCCAAGGGTTGCGTCAATGAAGGACTGCGCTCTTTTAACAATGTGCCAAGTTTGTTCTCTGTTCTGAAGGAAACTGTAATATTGTTTTTTGTCATAAGATTTTTAAATTTGTTACTCATGAAGGTGCCATATTTTGCAGAGATGTAGTTTTTCTGTTTTTTAGTTCCTGTTTTATTTTTATGTTTGAAGATGAGTTTATCAATAATAATGCTTGGATAACCATTTGCTACAGCTATGTATTTTATTGTATTTAATTCTTCATTATAATCCTGTTCATTCATTGGAATAGTGAGCAAACGGTGGACAAAACTGTTGTACGCAGCTAGTTTTTGTGAGTAAGGATGATGGGATTCATAGTTAATGGTCTGGTCAGTGCATGTTGGTTTCCTGAATATTTTGAATACATTATACATTATTATACATTATTAATACATTATTCAAGGATGGTTTGCGTGAAGTTTGGTGCAGATCCGTCAAAAGGGCTCCGCCCCAGAGGGTTTAAAGTGGGCCAATGTCAGACTTTTTGAACTACAATGTTTACAAATAAATATAACTAGCTGTTACCCGGCAACTGTTTTGTAAGTTTAAATAATCACAACATGCTGTATTAGTCATGATTTGAAATAGTGCCACACTGTTTCCACAGAATGCAGCACAGAGAACTATTTTACTTTTGGATAAGTCCAAATATACCCCAATCACAGCACACCTGTGCACTCAACAACGTTTAAATTCCCCAATGTTAAATATTTAAACATAAAAACCTTAACAAAATATTATAAATAATAAAAGGGATGGCAATGCCCTATTATTTTTATCTTTTCTTCTATACCCACACTATCTAACATAATAGTCCAGGAGCTGAGGGGGTTTGAGCATGCATGAAAGTACAGTAGTACGCAATGTTATTGCTGATTATTGTAATATGGACTGTGGTGATTAAAATTACGTATGTCGCCTATTTCAAAAGTGGTCGATAAGGTATTGGGGAAGGGGGCAAACATGGCGCTTTGCGCTATGCGTTAAATGCTGATATTTCGAAAACGGTAAAAGATAGAACATCGGTTAAAACGTTGTTGTAATTCTAAAAATGTGGACTGCAATAATGGTTATTGGCTCCGAGGTCGTATCTCTATAAATAAACAAGTTATTTTATAAAATATGTAAAAATGGACTTTTCGTGTAGTTTTTTTTACCGAAACTAGAATTAATTTGTGAGTGTCGCAAAGATCAAATATCTTTGCTTATAGGCTAGTTGTAATATGGACTGTGGGGATAAAAAATATGCATGTCGCCTACTTTCAGGTGGTAGAGAACTTGGGGGGAGGGGGGCAAAGATGGCGGAACGTGCTATGCATTGAAACGACTGTAGCTCAATAACGGTACGAGATGGGCCATAAAAGTATGGCCATTAGAAAAGGTTGTAGGGTAAAAAGTTGTATCTTAATTAATAAAAAAGTTATAACAATAATAAGTTTAACAAAATCTACATTATACAGCTATTTTATTCAAAAATCATATGGATTGTTGATAAATAATAGTGTAATTACTTAATTACTTGACTAAATATTAACCAGATGCATTTTCTTATAAGAAAAAAAAAATATTACGAATACATATGGTTTAAAATGAAAAACGCGGCCTCCAAACTACGTATAATACTTGGGATTTCGCCGCAATCAAATGCATAATACAGACTACCACTACAAATCCAATTTTAATTATAATTTTATAGGATATTACAATATGATTATGTAACAGATTCTATTAAATACAGTTATATGAAATAAAAACATAACTACAAAAGTAAATACCTTATAATAAAAAAATACGGTAAATTTCTTGATTCTATCCATAACAATTACACTGGTTGTTCATATTATTTGTTGAATTGAAATAGGTACGTAACTTTTGTAAGTTGGTGAAATTTTACTTAAAAATTGCCTAATCCACTAGTCACTAAGAACAAATGTATATAAAAACCAGCCATACACAATTTTAAAAAACCGTAAGCAACTTAAAATAAAATGTATTGAAATTTTAAATATTTAAATAACTATTAAGTTATAAAAGAATATTATTTGTATGAATAAAACACAATAAATGTCAGTAGTCTTAAACTGTACAAATACTTTCACAACCCCGATATCACTGAGTTGGAAGGCAATGATCTTTGGGGGGATTAACAGTTGTGCCGATATCAGAAGCACTGAGCAGCAATTATGACGCAACCTATCGGACGAACCCGAAGGCGTTTGGAGGCCATGTTTTACATTTTAAACCAAATGTATTCGTAATAATATTTTTTTTTCTTATAAGAAAATGCATCTAGTTAATATTTAGCTGAGTAATTAAGTAATACACTATTATTTATCAACAATCCATGTGTTTTTTGAAGAAAATAGCTGTATAATGTAGATTTTGTTAAACTTATTATCGTTATAACTTTTTTAGTAGTTAAGATGCAACTTTTTACCCTAAAACCTTTCCTATTGACCATATTTTTTTGGATTAAAACTATGTTTTAACCGATGTCCCATCTCGTACCGTTATCGAGCTACAGTCGTTTCAATGCATAGCGCGTTCCGCCATCTTTGCCCCCTCCCCCCAAGTTCTCGACCACCTGAAAAGTAGGCGACATGCATATCTTTTATCCCCACAGTCCATATTACAACTATCAGCAAATATCCAACAATATCAGCAAATATGTCTATAGAAAGATATTTGATATACTTCTTTGCAACACTCACAAATTAATTCTACTTTCGGTAAAAAAAAACTACACGAAAAGTCCATTTTTACATATTTTATACAATAACTTGTTTATTTACAGAGATATGACCTCGGACCCAATAACCATTATTGTAGTCCACATGTTAAGAATTACAACGACGTTTTAACCAATGTTCTATCTTTAACCGTTTTTGTAATATCAGCGTTTTAACGCATAGCGCAAACCGATGTTTGCCCCCTCCCCCCCCCTTATCAACCTTTTTTGAAATAGGCGACATACGTAATTTTGATCACCACAGTCCATATTACAATAATCAGCAATAACATTGCGTACTACTTTCATGCATGCTCAAACCCCCTCAGCTCCTGGACTATAAATTATTTAGTGAATAATAATCGTGCGTGCTATCTCAGGTATTCAAATGCGTCTCAATTTGTCATTAACCCACCACATTACTGTCATTAAAAGAAGGAACTCCAATAATACTAATGTGAAACTTAAATCCACCGAAGCTGTGCAACGTTACCAGACTGACGATTTAAAAAATTACACCAAAATTGATTGAAGCAAAAATTATCAGTGGTAAGTACTGATGATTTCATCTGAATTATCCTCTGAATTTAAGCAATTACAATTATTTTTATTTTTGGTATACACTTTTATTATTTATTGTAAAGAACAAATTACCATTTAAAATAATAGTTGTTAAGCGCAGCAACGCGGGTAACTGCTAGTAGGCTATAAAAAATACATAATATACAACTATTACAAAGTTCTTAGAATCAGATTTACTGCTAACAAAATAGTTTCAAAAGTAAATAATTTCCAACTGAACATAAACAGAAATATAAAATTATTCTAATTATAATAAATGAGACGTTAATAAAAAAAATATATACATTTAGTTTTCAGGCTGAAATAAATAAAAAATACCCCGCCGCAGTAAACCTGCAGTCTATACGAATTTACATTTGCCTCACTTGATTTTGAATTCATTCTATTTAAATAACATTAGGTTTAATGAGTTACTAGGTTTGCTGCTTCAGGGAGGGTAATAAAGTGTGTTTTTTAGCAGGATATTAATAGCTTAGTATAAAATAAATAAATTTACCTAGGTTGATTAAAATATATCCATAAACAAGCAAACTACAACAGTTTACAATATTTTCCATAAGAATAACATGTGGATTTTAAATTTACATTTTTTTTAACCTTCTTCGTAACCAATATGCGTACAAAAAAACTTAAACATACTAAATTATTTGTTTTTTAAGCTCTTAAAAATTGTCTAGAGAGAAATTGGGAAATTTTGTGTTTTGAAGGTAAAAAATGAGAAAAACCCATTTTCCCCATAAAACCCTCCGTAAAACCCCGTTCCCATGGTCCGATCATGCTGGTTCGCAATCTCATCCAAGTTCATTCAACTACATTCATTACTCGGACAAAAATTACTCGATTTATCGTGTTCACGTACACATACCGTATATATATATATATCTATATCTATAAAAGAGGAACTATGTATGTATGTATGTGTGTGTGTATGTGTGTATATACGTTATGGACTCCGAAACCGCTAGACAGATTGTAATAAAACTTTCAGGCATTGTTAAGCATCTTTCAAGGATGGTTCGAGTGAAGTTTGGTGCAGATCCGTCAAAAGGGCTCTGCCCTAGAGGGTTTTAAGTGGGCCAATGTCAGACTTTTTGATCCACAATGTTTACAAATGAATATAATTTAAAAGCAGATGTTTACTTTCACCAACTGTTTTGTAGGTTTGAATAATCACAACATTCTGTATTAGCATTAGTCATGATTTGAAATAGTGCCACAGTGTTTCTACAGAGTGCAGCACAGAAAACTATTTTACTTTTTAATAAGTCCAAATGTATTAAACCCCAATCGCAGCACACCTGTGCACTCAACAACGTTTAAATTCTCCAATGTTAAATATTAAAACATAAAAATCTTTATCAAAGTATTATGAACAATAAAAGAGATGACTTTTTTTTAATTTATGACATAAGTTAATTTGCAACCAAATGGTGAGTGAGCGTAGCGAACGAACATCAACCTGGAGGCGAGTAAGCGTAGCGAACGAGCTAACCCGAAAGCAAGTGAGCGCAGCGAACGATTTCCAACCTGAAGGTGAGTGAGCGTAGCGAACGAACTTCAACCAGGACGTGATTGAGCCATGCGAATACTTATGAAGTTAAGCGGGGCAAAGCCCGCGGGTACAGCTAGTATATACATAATAACCAGTGCTGGATTTAGGGTACTTGCAGCCCTAGGCCAAATTACTTGAGCAGCCTCCCGCTGTGGTAGAAATTATCATCGACAACCGCAACCGTGGTGAAATATTGAACACCTACCGCGGGCCGCATTCATGGGGACATCATCGAGACTCACGGCAGTGGCTAACTCGTGAATGTCTCCCGCGGGCTGCGATCATGAGGACACATCACCGTCACCCACGGCTTCGGCTAAATCGTTAACGTGTCCCGCGGGCCGCAATCACGGGGACATAATCACCGTCACCCGCGGCCGCGGCAAAATCGTGAACATCTCCCTTGGTCCACAATCACGGAGACCTCATTATAGTCACCTGCAATCGCGGCAAACTGATGTTTTAAAAAATTGATTTTTTATCTAAAAAATTTTTTTTCAACCCTCTGCGGCCCCCTTTTGCTTGCAGCCCTAGGCTGCGGCCTAATCGGCTTAGTGGTTAATCTGGCACTGATAATAACTAATAATATATAAAATAACATAAGTACCCTTTCTCCTCCTTTTTAGTTAATGAAACTACACAACATGTTTCGTCTATAATGATATCTTCAAGTTTTTACCAAACTCCAACAAAAATATACATATTATAATGTTTTGAACGGATGGTGTTTTTGGCCTCTGGACACATCAAAATGAAAAAGTAAATCGGTCCCGGGCCTAGGTCTTTCCAAGAGACCTACGGTAATAGCTTCTTCCCTATAGAGAAATTCGCTCAAACAAAAAGTATTACTAAACAAAGTGAAAATTTTAATCGTTCCCTTGAATTTGTTATGAAATTCAAATTGAACTTGTATACTAATTTTTTGTAAAAAAAGTCTTCTATGGAATAAAATGGAAATTTTATTTAACATTCTTTTAGGGTCCTTTAAAATGTATTAATTGCCTTCCCTCGTTATTTGAGCTAGCACATGGTGGAAGGAAAAAACATAGGTGTGCTATTCCCGTCATACTCTGACGTCACTCGGATTGCAAACAAAAGATCACCTGATTGTAACTGTCAAATAAGTATATGTATTTGTTTTGATGTGGTTGTTATTGTTTTGTTTTTATTATTATAAAAACAATAACAATCAAATAAAAACAAGTACATGATAATTTGACATTTACAATCAGGTGATCTTTTGTTTGCAATCCGAGTGACGTCAGAATATGAATAGCACACCTATGTTTTTTCCTTCCACCATGGAGCTAGCAGGTGTTGCAAAACAGTTAAACCTTAATAGTTGTTAGTTTTCTTTTTGTTTACTCTTTGTGTAGCCTGCTTGACTAAGCCTAATAGAACCATCTTGTTCCCGTAAAACAAAAGTCCCAAGAAGTGTGAAGATTCATGGTTTTGATCCTGTTTACACTTTTGAAAAACATAAGCCACTTTTATGTGTGTACATTCCGCTTGGTAAAACATTGTAGACGTAGACCTGCAACTGTTTAGTGCCTTTGAGGGAACAACTATAAAACATTGTGAAAGATTTTTATGTTACTTAATGTTACTTTTAAGACACATTATATTTTTTAATAATGTTATGGAAGAACTGACTGAACTATCGGGAAATTAGGTTTAAGCGTGTAGCGGGAATAGTATTCTGGCCAAAAAAATTATGTAGGTGGTTTCAGAATGAAGCTCCGGGTGGAAGGACAGAATGCTTTTTAAAAATGAAGAAGTTCTCCCTTAGTTTAACCATAGACAAATATAATTAATACAGACTGTCAAAGGAAGCTTCCGGCGCCCACCGCTAGGAGTGCCGTGTAGTAACGCACACCACTGCAGTTAAGGAGCGCGGGAGCCGTATGCTACCAGCAGACGCTGCAGCGATGTGCGCACACGACACTCCTAGTGGTGGGCGTCGGAACATATGCCAACCGCAGTACTGCTGCCGGTCTAAATTAATTCTATTTGTCTACGTTTTAACTTAAGTATTAACATATGTTTAACCTTTGAGTCAATGGTTTAACTTAAATCTTTGTGAGCAACGCGGCGGGTTAAGCTAGTATGTTATAAAACAATTTCTGAAAAGACCATCCATACTATGTACCATACTATATAGAGATTATCACATACTGAAATGAGAATTTTGTATTTTGTAGCATGTATGTAGGTAAAATATACCAAAAATAAAATGTAACGTATAAATTAAGTGTTTTTGTTCACAGGGACAGATTTTGAGGGCTGGACAAGATAATGATATTTTAAAGACTAATTTTGATGCAAAAAAAGAAAGCAAACTTATAATTCATGGCTTTGTGGACAACACCAGATTAAGTAGCTGGCTGAAGGTAAGGATTCTGTTTAAATCAACATCCTTCTCATTAATTTTCATGAATCTTATTTATATATATATATATAAACAAGATGTCCCGGAACTCTCTGGAACATTTCATATGAAATTATTCCTTAGGTCAAGACAAACACATTTCACAATACATCATGGTTCTACGTGACTAGTTTACCGTCTCTGTCTGTATGTGTTTTTTACAAATTATTTCATAACTCATATATAATTTGGCTTCAAATAGAAGTGTATGTTGTACGTATGTTTATAATTTGGTTTCTATTAAACTGTTTCAGAAATAAAAATTAACAAATTAGGTGACATTTTTAATTTTATTTGATTTTTTTAACCATTTTTAAATGAAGGGCTAAAGAGACCATATCTCCCAAAACATAAAATAATAACAACTATATTAGAATGTACATAAACTGAACTAAACATAAACAGAAATATAAAGTTATTCCAATTATAATAACATGGGCCATGTTGGTGTGGATTATTGTGTTAATCGTATGTTCTGCCCTGAGTGTGCAGGTTAATGGGTCAGTGTGGGCCCTACTTTTAAAATGTAGCTAGCTACAACTACTGCTACAATTTTTAACCCATTGGCGCCGACTTACGAGCGTTACTCGTACGGCCGCTGCAGGCCCGGAGGCCGACTTACGAGAGCCACTCGTGTCACCGCTAGGCAGCGCCATTTTTTATTTAGTTATTATTATTTTTCGCCCTTTTTGTTTCTTCTTACTATTATAATGTTTATAAATATCTTGCTTCTTGATTTGCGTATTTACACATTAATTTTAACGAATAACAAACAATTTTGTTTTGCCATGGAAACCACATATCACCAAAAATCAGCTGCGGTAAGGTAAACAAACAATTTTTTAAAAATGTTACTACTTATAAAAGTACACAACTTTTGATTTTTCTACGTAGGGAATCGATTGACCTTTATAATAGTAGTGTTATTTGGTGTCTGGATTAATCTTGGAATTTTTATATCAAGTTTACTTTCAAAATATTGTTTTTAAAATTTTTATTTTTATAATCTCTATATATATAGGCTATATATTTTTTTTAGAACTTTGACTATCCAATTAACACTTTTCTGTAGACAATTTTACTGTGAACAAAATGGTGAAAGAATTATTAATTTATTACTTAAGGTTTTCTTTCTATAGCAGTTAGAGTAAAAGTCTACAAATTCGGTAAAATTAATTGCCGCCAGAGGGTGCTGCAGGTATCGGATTAATTCCTTCCCCAATGGGTTAACTACTTTTCAAAAGACGTTACTTTTATTCCACGCACATTAGGTAAATGTAAATTAATTGCAACTAAATTTTTATTGAACAAACACTCAAACAACAAAATGTCGGTATTGTATCTAACATTACTTGGAAAACAACTTATTCCTAGATTGTATTTAATTTCTTGGCATCATAAATCTAACATTACAACAACACAAACAAAATAGTTTGGTGTTCCATCATATTTAGTACTTATTTTTAAGTATTGCATTAATTTTAGCATCTTATATGTAAATTTCATTAAGTTTAAAGGGCATGCAACCAAACTAAATTTTAAAAGCTCATTTTATTTCTTTAATTCTTTATATATTTATCAAACATACATATGAATTCAAACGGATGGTGTTTTCGGCCTTTGACTTTGGGACATAAAAACGAAAAATTAAATCAGTGGGTCCAGGTCTTACCATAATACCTACGGTAATAACTTATTCCCTATATGGAAAATTCGCTAAAACGTTGGTCTGGGTCTGGCTTCAATGAAAATCCTCTTCATCGACGTCAAATTCACCATTTAATAAGACGTAAAAGAAATATCTTAGCTTATTATACAAGTAAAATTATAGATTCACAACTGGAGGTGAAACTTAAAAACCACTATGTAAGAAGTTCAAAAAGTCCGTGCGAAGAGTGGATCCAAAATAATAATCTGGTACGTAGATTTCTTTGGACAATATCGGGTTAGTTTATATAACTTACTTGAAATGCCGCGATTTTCAAAAGGTTCAAACTTGTCAAGATCAACACGGACGACTAGGCAGCACAACAGTGGTAGCCATCAGACTGCTTCATCTTCTGATCTCACCGCCAGGAACATTAATAGAAACTAGTGGCTTGTAGGTATTTAGACAAACTCAGAATAACACATTATCTATGTGTCAGAATAGGCATCCCTACACCATATCTTTTGTGTAAAAACCAGTTTGTTGTTCTTCTTTGTTTGCTTTTGTTGATGTCATTTTCAATAAATAATTTGAATCACTCCAGTGGCTTAACATGAAAAGGCAGCAAACATATCATTGTTTGTGAATAAATACTGGTTTACCAAGGTAGCTTTGGTCTTGTGGTTAATGAGGATAAATAAAAGCTTCCCTGTTTGGAATTTTAAAAATTAATTGGAGGTTCGCCTTCAGATGAATTGAAGACGCCTGCAATTTCATCTGCAGTAGGCTTATTATACCTACGACGATCCATATTTATCCTGTCTACAAACCTAAGTTCTAATTCACTGTCACCTTGTACAACCATTTCTTCCGAAGCTCTTTTGTAAATTTGTGCAAATGGATTTTCTAATAGAATTTCAGCTAGTTTTGACAATACCTATTTCAGGTTTTAAGTCACTATTTTCTCGACGCCTTTGACGAATTTCTGTTGCTGTTGATGTGTCAATAATGTACAATTATTGGCCATACACGGGGTCTTCATCATGTTGAGGCAGCACATCTGAGATTGAACGATAAATCTGTCCTTGAATTTTGAAACAGTATGGCCCTTTTCCTGGAATATCTTTCTTACTGGCTGAAAAATAAGCAAAAGCCATCGCACTGTTGTATTTTCGAATGAATTTATACAGTTGTGGGCTCTCTTCAAACAAATTTTTAAGTTCTACATAAGTTTTTGGCTGAGGAAGGTTAATAAGTCCGTTATGGCAACATGTCATAAAATGATTATTCGTTAGTTCTTCTCTAAAATGAAGAGCACTACATTGAATGCACTCTTGGTCCAGTAATCCTGCATCGTGGATATTTACATTTCTCTCGTCTCCATGGGTCTCCTAAAAAGTGGTTGTAACATATCTTGATTAAGTTCATCATTATCTACTCTTGCTCTTCTACGCGCACTGTCATTCCTATGAACAGTTCCCCGCCTTTGTGGTCTACCCCTGGCGTTCATATTAATTACAGTACTTATACCTAATGAAAAGAATATATATCCAGCAGCCTACATACCAAAACATCTTGAATCCCTGGTGATTTTATAAAAGTATGATCAAATATGATTACTCTACGTTGTATATTCACTGCACTAAAAAAATATTTACTTAAGAAGGAATGCAAATACACCGTTTTAGAACCAATAACATTTATAGGTTATTTTAGTTGTATACATTAACACAACCTTAACCTTAAAATGTGTAGAAATATAAAGAAAACAACATCATTTAAAATAAACTTAAATATATGACGAGGTGTTAGCCCGTCCTACGTACGGGAGTAGTCAGTTAAAACGGTTTAGGCCTATAATTCAGAACAGCTAGTTTACACGTATAAAGAAAATTTTTATTGCAGCCTACAGTAGAATGAGTAATTATCAATTGAGAAGTGTATAGGCCTAGTCAATGATATCACCTTCCATCGCATACCTACCTCTTCCATAATCAATATTACCACAATACAATTACTCATACTATACACAATTTCCAGTAGGTCTGAGTTGAAACTCCCTAAAATAAACGAAAACATCCAATAAAATTCACAGTACACATAATTATAACGTTGGTGTCCTGACATCATTAAACGAATCGTCCACACACATCCTTTATGTCAATTTCACTGCACCAATTGCTAAATAAATAAGTTTAGTTTAAACAACGAAAGGTAAACACAACAACATATTAGTTTGTTTTGTAAACAGCTGTGTCAAAAAAAAATATTCATTTGAACAAAAGAACTGGTCACATGTTGAGGGAATTTAAAAAGTAAAAACGCTATAGTAAAGCTAGTGACGTAATTAATTGTCTATGTTTATTATCTATCCCGTTATCGGTTCCAATATCCTTGATAATTATACCACCCTCATTGAATCAATGTACATCGTAATTCCCCATATTCATTTATTTAAACTATAAAAAATTCAGCGCCTCCAAATGTAACCACCACTAAACACACGCCAAACAACTTTTTTAGATTTCATAAAAGGATGTTTAGTCTAATTGCAGTATCCTAGGTCAATGATGACGTTGTGTTCAATTTATAGCATTCATCTGTATATCTTTGGATAACAACCGTCTGAGGTTGTGGTGGTAATTTAAAATCGTATTCCTGAGGATTCTTGATCTCCATCTTTATGACATCAATATTTCCGGGCCTAATCCAAACAAAGTTCAAGCATTCAAAAACATTGATTGTAAACAGAAAGCTGCCAAGACAAATTAAAACATGTAAAAATTGTGATTTTCCTACCCTTTCCAAAAAAGTTGAGCAGTAAAATAATTTGCAAATCTTTTTCATTTAACTCGTGTACGACTTGTACACATCGATGGTGTTACTTTTCTCGGTGGTCTACTAATCTTACCTATTTCTAATAATCAATGACAATATTGATTTGAGTCATTTTCAGGTACACCTGCATGGTTTGTGCATGTTTTCTTGTTTTGTTTTTTGACTAGAGCTTATTTATTTGAATTGTTTGTTGATGAATTTGATTTTGCATGTTTTGTTTATTTAAATGACGAGCCTATTGTACTTGTTGTATGGCAATAAAGACTTTGACTTTGACTTTGACTTTGACAAAATCAGAGTAAATAACCTCATAGTTCTAATAGGGCATTTTTATTTAACCAGCTGTTAGTTAAAACAAATTATATTGCTCTAAAACAAATCAAAGATTACAAAGATTGCTTTAAAAAATAATTTGAACATCCTTGTATTTTACTATGTATATTAAATTAATCTGTCATCCTCTTACAAAAGAATTGAACGTATCAATGATTAGCATTACACATAGTATAAATAAGTCAACCCTCAGTATGTCTTTACATTTTTATCCATGTTTTTATCCAAATGCTGAATTTGTGACACAAAAGCTGAATGTTTACAGCTGTTATGTTAAGCAAATTATTTTATGCCAAAAGCTAGTTTAGAATCTTAGCGTCGGCTGCTAGACTTTTTAAAAATTAAAACTTAATTTCTAAAAAACTGGGACCCTAAACTAAAATTATGGCTTCGACATTCCCTAGTTCTCAAAATTATCTTTCTTTCAACACAAAAATCATGAAAATCCGTCGAGTGGTTGATTCAGAATCGTGAAATAAAAAAACACTGTTTCGTTTTAATATTATAGATTTAAAAATAAAAACAAAACAGAAGTTAGATTTAATTTCGACTCTTTGATTATTTATACAGAATATTTATTCTATGTCGTTTATTCCTCACGACAATAACGTAAAAGCATGAAAAAATGAAACTTGAGTATATGATTTAAATATAAACAAAGAATGCAGACGTTTTTCCGATTAATCTTCAAGATTTCAGTTTTATTATAGTATACATTTCATAGTTGACTGGCTTAAAGTAAACCAAATGCGTGTATTGATCAATGTTTCAAGATATAGCACGATCAGCTGTGCTGTATTGAAGTAAACAGAAATCAGCAGTAAATGACTTCTAATGCTATTCTTATGGAGAAACTTTACGTTATATCTAATTTTGTATCAAGATTTGGGGAATTTCACCAATTTTCCCGCCGTCACGGGCTCGAGACCTTTAATTTGAGCCCTCTCCCGTCCTTCTACGACTTCCGAGTCGCCCACAATTTTGACGCAAAGAATCGGCTTACGTAATTAATATATACATAGATTTGGTATTAGCAAACAAATTTGATCATTCCCTTCAGTCTCTGGATTATGTACCTGCACAAATTGTAAAGCAAAAACTAAAGAGAAAAAAAATTTAAAGAAGACTTTATGTGTGCAATTTGCAGAAGAAACCCAAATGTTCTTACAGATCTTAACAACATGGATCCAGGAGATGTGCCACCCCAGCTACAAGACTTAACTGCAGTAGAGCAAATGCTCATTGCCAAAGTTCAGCCAGTTATTCGGCTGTATCAGTATCGTTCTTGTGGACAGATATTTTATAACGGCCATGTAATAAATATTGCGCAAGATTTGTCTGAAATAACACACTTTCTACCCCGAGCACCAAATACTCTGAACGTTGTTATTGTTCGAAGACCAACATTACAAGGATTTTTGGAATTCAGAGTCCGCAGACAAAAAATACTTGATGCTTTGATATTTTTGAAACACAATAACGACTTTTACAGTGACATAAATATCGATATGGACACATTAAATGATTTACCAATAGATGGCACTATTGAGGAACAAGTTCCAACGATAGAAATCGACAGTGTATTAAATGATTCATTAGACGATGGTTTGGTAACTGAATTGGCTGTAAGCAGTACAGCTTTCCAAAATCAAAAAGAATCAATAAAACGAGTTTTGGAATGGCCACCTGGACATCCCAATCCAATAGACGAGTTTCGTACTCCTGGATATATCGTCATGGCTTTTCCTCATCTATTTCCACGTGGGAAAGCATATTTTAATGATCATAAAAGACAAGTAAAACTGACTTTCAAACAGTGGTGCAATTATTTGATGCACTTCAGGGACTCCCGTTTTGCAACTGACAAAAGATTCCGATATTTATGTCTAAACACAATTCAAAGACACGAGGCACTCAATGTCGGAGCGGTTATGGCAAAGAAATCAGATCTCAAGGAGATGACAATAGATCAACTTCGTATTTAATTTGAAAGAAATCCGAGCATTTTAAATAAGCTGTTATCATATGGTGCCCATATCCGAGGAACAAACGCATATTGGTTTAAACGCCGGAATGAACTTCAATCTATGTGTGAAAGTCTTGGTGCACCCACCCTATTTCTAACATTAAGTTCTGCTGATCTATGGTGGCCATGCTTGCAAAAGTACTTCAAGATTCCTCAAGAAATCACAAGTAGGTAATGAAAGCCAAATGTCTAGATTCATGCAAAAATCTTTAAATGACAATCCACTAATTGCGGACGAGTATTTCGAGGCGCGAGTGCAAATACTCATGGAAATTTTAAATATAAAATTCAAAGTGAAAGATTTTTGGTATCGAACTGAGTATCATCATCGTGGTAGTCCACATGTAGCCTACATAGCTTGATTTGGATTGAGAACGCTCCCGATATACGTCTATTTGATCAAGCAACTATGATGAGATGTCATCATACTAACTATTTTCAGCGAGTTTTTGGGTCTCTTCATTGAGTATGTGTTTTGGTTAATAATTCTCTTTGTTGGTGATCTGGTTTCAGTAAATTCATTACTTTCATCATCGCTGGATGGAAGTGAGTCTATATGTTCAATATGTTGCTGAGGATAAATAATATCTTGTATCTCTAAGTTGTTTTTCTTTTGAGTTTTTGGGATGCCATCTGTCCTATGGACTTGAGCTACCACAGTTATTGTTGTTCCCTTTTCTTCAGGAGAGGGAGGCTCTGCTGCAGCTGTCTATGTGTACGTTGCAGTGTCGTGGCCGGGATTTATCTGACTTCCCTGTTAGTATTTGTGTGTGGTATAGTGTTGTGGAAGGGATTTGTATGAATCAATTTTGTAAATAACAAAAATGTAAACATAGGTAACCTATTGTGTAAAAATCTAATGGTATCCTTCTGTATGTTTGTTATACTCAATCATTCAAAACCTACTGAACAGACTGAACTTAAACTTGACAAAAATAGGTACAGCTACTATATCAAGGATCCGTTTAGTTATTCACGCTCCGATACTGACCGAGGGCTTTGCCCCATTGGCTTTAAAAGTTCTGAGGTGGGATTTTAAAAGTAAATATTGGTCTTAATGGCTGTAATGAGAACACTCCCAATATTTATATTTTGCTATGACATTTCAATGTAAACAAGCAGAACTGTTGGTGTAAAAATTAAATAGATAATTCCGTAGAACCATGTTGCAGGTTTTTCATCAACCCCCGGATGAAGGACAGGTACTCTGCTAGTAATTACATAAATTTGTAGATTATATTTATACTTTTAGCTCTTTGCATTGTTTTAGGAAATGCGATTGGAGCTCCTAAAATATGGAGATATGAATGTTTTTGAGGTAGATTGGGACAAAGGTTCACTGCCACCTTATACTCAAGCCACAGCCAACACACGTTTAGTGGGACTGGAAATTGCTTTCTTCATTAACCATCTTAAGGTAGCAACATATTATTTGAATATAATATATTTTTTATGCCTTACTACTATCTGTTACCCTGTTACCCACAGGCTTCACCAACCAATGGCCAACCCATTTTGGCGATTTTGCAGACCTTTTTTTGAAAATTTATAAAAATTTGTACAAGTAAACCTAGCCAACCTTGTATTCATTTTGTTTGGAAAGGAAAGGAGAATCTATAAATAGTAATATAATAATGACTAGTATACACGTTGCTCGAAATCGAGCAATTGCAAAGAAGTAAAGTAGTTATTTAAAAACAAATAACAGCAATTAAATTATACAGCTGATCAAAATGTAAACAATTATGTTCTTCATAAGGATAACATGGGAACTTTAACATCCACTGGAGCAGAGCCCAAGGGACTTTTTCAAAAATGTAAGGCCAGTTTGCAAATCTAAGCGACACGCTCTTTCCAATGAAACGTCATTGGATAAAATCGATTAAGAAATGGCGGAGGAGTTCAACCGACAAAGTTTCATGTAGCGTATTAATTATATAGATTAAGAGTTAAGGAAAGGCCAATTGGCTGATTAGGATTATTATGTACAAGGATAGGAATCAGCTAGCTTACCTGGTAAATAGAGTCCAGATTAGCCTTGATTACACATAAAACACATGACACAACATGACCGCTTTCAGCATGCGCTGCAACTAATCTCCAGCGGTTACGTATCACTAAAACTACCATATCTCAGTTAATACTTGTCCAATCTTCAAAATTAAGGTGTCAATCGATTTGTAATAAAATTGCCTTAAAAAAGTTATCCTTGTAAAATGTTTGTAAAATCAACGGTTTTCGAGTTATTCAAGAAACAAAATTTAAAATGGCCGCCATTTTGTTTTATGAATTTTAAAAATCGTTATAATTTTTTGGTAGCTTTGTCTAGTTGCCATAAATATTTGTGCAAAGTTTCAATTTCGTATGTTTAACCATTCCTTAAAAAAAATTAATAACTTAAAAACAAAATGGCGGCTGTGTGAGTAACTAAGGACTTCCGGACAATTTAAACATGATATTTAGGTATGTTAACTACCCAGGAACAATGCCCTAAAATATTGGTAGAGAGTTCCGGGACACCCTGTATAATAAAATGAACGTTCAGAATGTGATCTTTTGAATGGTATAAATATTGTTCACATCAGAGTTGATTATAAGCGGTTTTTTCACCGTTAAAAAAATGTTGGCCCATACTAGCGTATTACGCTGGTGGCCATTCTAGGCGTCACAGCGAACGAGCGTAATACGTAACCACAGCTAGGGTTAATAAAACCACAAATATGTACTAGAATAATAGCGGTATGGATCATAAACATAAACAAATGACGTTTTTGGCCCAAAAATAAACATGATTTAGCATTGCTTAAATGGAACTGCCAAAACATAAGTTAATGCTATTAGTATAGGATTTGGGCCAACAACGTCATTTGTTTATGTTTATGATCCATACCGGGTCTTTTCTAGTATTCGTGAATAAAACTATTGATTGGTTAATTTAAGCTGAACTCACCTGATTTTAATAAGGTAATAAATTGATAGAATATCAAACAATAAGTACAGCTGATGTATTTTTAGGTATATGGAAAGTTCCCTCTAGAAAGGAATTACGAAAGGGCAATTTATGAAAGGGCAATTTATGAAATAATGAATAGTTTTGCGCAAGGTTTCTCGTCATGACAAACAAGTATATGGTTTATGGGGGTGTGACTTTTAGTTTTCTCAAAAGTTCATGGGTACTTTGGGATTTATATATGGATGTACAATATTGATTGTCCAAATGTTCTATAATCTGAAACATTAATGTTGACAGTTAGTTGCATTAGAGTAATCCTGATAATTTTTATATCTGGGACTTATGGGCTAGAATGTGCACGATTCAAAAGAAGTGTTAAGCTGATATCACACTATAGTTCTATGACATATCTATTATAAAATAATAGCTGGCCCGACAGACGTCGTCCTGTCCTAATGTGGTTTTATGTCAAATGCTCGTTCATTTTCAAGATGAGCTCGTTCGCATCGCTCAATCACATCCTGGTTGAAGTTCGCTAGCTACGCTTACTCACCTTAGGTTGGAGCTCATTCACTGCGCTCACTTGCCTTTAGGTTTAGCTCGTTCCCTACGATAACTCGCCTCCAGTTGTGCTATTTGGTTGTGCTAATTTGCAGTTATGGTTGCAAATTAGCTGTTGTCATAAATTAAAAAAATAATAGTGCTGCACCCTGTTGGTAAACCTATTAACTTTTTAATGCTATTGAACATCACAGAATCAAATTGTTTAGTTGAACCAGCTGTTCAAGATTCTTTAATTCCATTTAAATATGAGTACTCATAAGGTTAACGTAAGAAACTCCAGAGCCACTGGGGCGGAGCCCTTTTGGCGGATCTGCACAAATCTTCACACAAATATCCTTGAATAATGCTTAATAATGCCTGAAAGTTTCATTGCAATCTGTCGAGGGGTTTCAGAGTCCATAATGGACAAACAGACAAACATACATTGGATTTTATATACATATTCATATTCATATTCTTTATTCATATTTTTTGTACAAAGGTGGTACAATGAATAGTGTCAATAAAAAGAAATACAATTACAATGATATTAGTAAATATTAACAAGTAAAATAATAACAACAAGTCTTTAGTTAGTCAAGAATGAAATACAAAATTAAAATAACTTAATGCTACCTATGCCAGGGAGGTGGAGAACTCTTCCATAGAATAAATAGGTAAATTTAATATATAATCTTTGAGTAATTTTTTAAACTTATTAAAATCTGTTTCTTTTTTTATATTTTCGGGGATAAATTTTAAAAATCTTTGGCCTGCTATCAAATAGTTAGTTGTTCAAGTTTATGTTAGTTAGTTTTATAAGATTAAAAGTTTGATAAAACTAAAATAAGTTGAGAGAGTTTGATCCACCGTTTTGGTATTTTCATAGTAACAATTATAAGTTCAAAACAATAACAAATTAATTATAACCAGCTGGCATTTAATATATTAATGTAATCCATGCCTTTGGCACACTCCGGGCGAAGGACAAACACTAATAATTCTTCACTTCTAGTGGATATAAGAGATTTAAGGGACGTACAACTTTCTTCTTCGAGCTGAGAATTACTGTAGCACTTCTTATTTTTCCGTCTCGACTTGAGTGAAGTTCTACTATTCTGCCCATTTTCCAACTTCCTTGTGGTAGTGCTTCATGGATCAGAACAGTTTCTCCAACATTTGGCTTGTTTGTTGTAGTTCCTTTTTTCTGCTTCATTTCAGTTGTTTTTCTTTCACGTAGGCTCATTAAGTAATCTTGAAGCCAGATCTTCCAAAATAAACTTAACACATTTACTCCTTTTTTCCAAATTTCAAGAATGTTTTTTCTTGATGTTCTTTCGAAGTCCTTGTTAGTTTGGATGTTATGTGACTGTAAATTTCCAATCAAACCATTTTCACCATGGAAATTCAAAAAATGTCCGGGTGTTATGATTTCATCACTGAGGCATATGTCTTCGGAAGAAACGTACACAAGAGGTCTTGAATTCAAAATGGTCTCTGTTTCGTAAAATACAGTTTCTAACTGTGTGTATGTCAACTTCAATTGTCCAATAGTTTTCTTCAAGCATTTTTTTACACTAGAAATGAGCCGTTCGTAGAATCCTCCCATCCAAGGAGCGAATTCGGGGATGAAGTTGAATTTACACCCATTGCTATGTACAAAAGATAAGACATCATCATCTACGAAGTTGTTTTCCCAGATATTCTCTAAGAATGAAGAAGCTAGTTTGAAATGTGGAGCGTTGTCCAAATATCTCCAAAGGTTTTCCTCTTCTACTTACAAATCACTTCAAAGCCAACAAGAATTCACTTGACGTCATATCACTGACCAGTTCTAGGTGAATAGCTCTAACAGTTAAGCATGTGAAAATACAACCATATACCTTTCTTGAGTCATCAGTGAGTTCATTGCTCTTCACATACAACGGACCAAAGTAATCTAGACCAGTGTATGAAAAAGGAATATTTTTGGTAACACGTTCCATTGGTAGGGGAGGGAAAGACGGCATTTTGAATGGACCTCCATCCCATCTTCTGCATTTCTTGCATTGTCTGATAATCTTAGACACTTGAGATCTTCCTTGAATAATCCAATAGTGTTTTCGGACTTCTGATAAAGTGTGTTGAACACCAACATGTTGTAGTTTTACATGATAGTCATTTATTACCAATTTGGTAAAGTGGTCATTTTTAGGTAAAAGCACAGGAAATTTCATTTCCGATGACAAATAAACATTTTGAAGTCTTCCTCTGCATCTCAATATTCCATATTCATCCAAAAACAACCCTAACTGTTTTTGGAGATGATCAGTCCTGCCAAGTTTTAAGCTTTTAATACTAGTGCCGAAATGTAAGTTTTGTATGTACCTCAACCAACATAAAGTAGACTCATGAAGCTCTTCGAAGTTCAATTTGTTGGATGTAAATGGAGTTGAAAGTTTCTTGAATGTTTTAATAGCTCGTTTGCAATATGCTGTCGTTCGAATTAGTTTATCTAGAGACGAGAACTTTGTACAATCAATGTCAAAAGGACCTTTACTTGTGGTTTCTTGAATTGCAGCCATAACTTCTTGGTTAGGTGTGGGTAGTTCACAAGTGTTCGATGTGTCTTGGTAAGTTTGTTCTGACATTGAAGTGATTTGATTAAAGTCATTTCGTGGCCATTCATTTTCTGGTGAACGTAGAAATTCTGGGCCTGACCACCATACCTGACTCTCCTGTAACTCATGATTAGTCAATCCGCAAGTCGCCAAATCTGTAGGATTGTTACTAGAAGGTACGTAACAAAACTCTACATCGGTATGTGATTTAATTTCCGAGAGTCTTCGCTCAACGAACTTTGGTAGTATCCTATTTGTATTCAACCAATGGAGAACACATTGTGAGTCTATCCAAAGTATTTTTTGTGTCACAGAAGTCTTCAGCGCAGTTTCAGTAAACTTTAATGATCTCACCCCAATTAAAACACCAAGTAATTCCAATCGTGGTATAGTGATATTTGGCTTAGACTTAGGGGTTACATGACATTTAGAGAAAATAAGTATTGATTTTGTCGTGGATGTATTATTACTCTTTAATCGCAAATAAACAGCTGTAGCGTAACAATCTTTAGATGCATCAGTGAAACAATTTAACTCTAAAGTATCACCAATGATTTCAACATATCTTGGAATACATACCTCAGGAATTTTAATTAGGTTTGATCGAATCTGCATCCATACCTTTGTAAGTTCTGAGTTCAGCTCTTCATCCCAATCAACGCCTTCAAGCCACAAGTTTTTAATGAATAACTTAGCTTTCAAAACTACAGGAGTAAAGAAACCCAAAGGATCAAAAATGGAAGCTACTAGTTTCAGTGCAGTCCTCTTCGTTACGACACAAGGTTCAACTTTAACTGGTTTTACAGAGAGCGTGTCTTTGAGTGTATCTGAGTGAAAATTTAAAAACGTACGTTTTCAGGAAAAGCACTTTGCAAATTTTTTTCCCCCTTTTTCAAAACTTTTATTAATTTTTTTATTTCATTAACATTTGAAGTTTCATAAAATGTCCATGGTAACGCAATATCTTTGGTAGTTTCTTTTTAAAAGAGCATCTTTAATGGAAAAACACAAAATCCTGTCACGACCATAACGGACGTTTAAATGAATATTAAAAATAGTTAATATTATTTTTATAACTATGTTTTGCTATAAACTAATTTACTTTTATGACCATTATACAATAAAAAGGTCACTGAGCTTTTGGTATATTTGGTCTTTCTAGAAAAAAATAAAAAAACTCAAAAAATTGAAAAAAGCCAATAAAATATTTTTAAGTTTGTATAACTCCAAAAAAACTTACCTGAGACCCGAAAAATCGTTATGTTTGTATAGAGGTGTGCTTCTTTTGTGTATAAAACATTGAAATATGACGATATTTTAATTTTTGAAATTTTTATGATAGAAATCATAAACGTGATGGTCAGGGACAAGCGGTGCGGTCGTGAATTGTCTGGAATAATCTAAATCTTTCTAAACAATCCTTCAATTATCCTGTTAGTCATAATAAAAATATGTGTTTCAATTGAACTAAACTGTTCAATTTACAATTATATTAAAGTTATTGTCACGACCAAACACACTATAATCCATAAGGCTGGATTGGTCGTGAAAAAACCTGCGATGGTCGTGAAACTTTGGTCGTGAAATTACGTGTTATTTGGCTCTGTTCTGGCGGTAGCCCTGCACTTCATGTTCGAGGATACAAAGTGGACTTCTAGGTTAATCTTACAATTGAAATATCTTATAAACAAAAATTAACACCATGTCTACTTCATCGAATGACTACGTACGGTCATGGACACACCAAAATTACAAAAAACACAATCTTTCCTTTATTAATCTTGTAATTCCTCCTTTCAACTCGAAACGACCGGCACTACAATCCTGACGTACACCCCGAACTAGTCTCTAAAACCAACTGACTCCATCGACGCCAGGCTTGCCACTGTTGTGCTCCAAAGTTGAAAATTTTTCCCAAATGGTCGTGACGCCAAATCGAGGGACAGACTTATTTTGTCATGGTAGTCAGTTTGTAATGACAATAAAATTATAATATGCTCCTTTTTTGTAAGTTTAATAACCATTGATGACACAAAAATATGTCTTAATATATTTCGGCATGAATAATTAGTCTAAAAACAGCGTGAAAGTTGGAAAATGTACCCTAGGGACACGTCATGGTCGTGAATTTCGAGACTTTAAGAATACGAAAAAAATACCTAGAACCTATTTAAAATCAAATAAATGTGTGTAACATGTTGCCCCCGTCCCAAAAAATATTAAAACACATAATAATAAACTACAAATCCAGTATCTACGAAGTAAAAGGCCAGGGACATGAAAACGTACGTTTTTAAATTTTCACTCATCCCATTTTATTCCCAAAACACAAACACTGTTTTCATTTTCAGTAGTAACTTTATCATCAGGAATACTTGCCATAAATAGCTTAGAATTTGAGCACCAGAACCCCACCGAGAGTTTGAGAGTTTGATCCACCGTTTTTGTATTTTCATAGTAACAATTATAAGTTCAAAACAATAACAAATTAATTATAACCAGCTGGCATTTAAAATATTAATGCAATCCATGCCTTTGGCACACCTGCATTGGACGGTTTTTTTCATAAAACTTGAGCCTATGAGGTTCAACAACCCCACTTTTTTTCCTAAGCTTATAGTTGTGGCTTGTCATCGGTTTTTCACTCAAATCTTGTTTTCTAGCAATAAGAATAACTTCATATATATATTGTCCATAAACTGTAAAAATATTTAGATGTGTAAAGTGTTGTTTGGCTGAATCATCCCCCTTAAGCTTGAGCATTATCCTGATAGCTTTTTTTTTTGCTGTTTTAAAATAGAGTCCATATTTAATACCATAGAAAAATAGATATGATAATATTTATGTTCTCTCTAGAAATCATCATTGATCATCATAGACATAAGATTATAGTTTCGCTATTATAATAGTTGGTCTATTACACTGTAATATTTTTCATCAAAGACATAATTACGATAATAGATAGGCCTATATGTCATAGAACTATGATAGTGTAATACCGGCCTTAGGAAGCGATCCATCTTTGATATCCTACAATGTTTTGATATCAGCAAAACAAAAGAATATAGAGCATGTGATGTTACTATGTTTTAATTTAACTTTTAATGAGACTTGTAATAAACGGTCAGGACAAGTACGGCTTGGACCCTGCAGACATTCACCTCATCGGACACAGTTTGGGTGCTCACACTGCCGGCTACGCAGGGCAGAACATTGTCGGTCTGGGGCGAATCACAGGTCTCGACCCAGCTGGGCCTTACTTCCAGGGCATGCCTAGTAATGTGAGGCTAGACCCCTCTGACGCATCCTATGTAGAAGTCATCCACACTGATGGTTCTACTCTTGGTGAGTATATTGGTAGTACTACTATTGTTCATATCATATATTAACCTATCATATTATCAAATTATTAAACAAAGTTTGAATGATATTATGTAAAAATTGTTGTTTGCTGGTTCTTTAAATGTCTTGAGTTTCCAGTAAAAACGTTAAGTTAAACATTTTCTTTAAAACAAAGAGGCTTTCAAGTTTTCTTGAAAATTCCTTTCTTAACTTTCCGAATAGGAGATTTAGAGTTTCAACTTAAGTTTAGACCTACTAAACGACCTGACCACCCTGGTTGTAATGTTTTTCGGACTCTGACACTACTCAGTCCCTAATTATGGACACAGTTGTAATTTCTACCCCAACAGCAGGCGTGTCCAGTCTGGTTGTGATGTTTCTCAGACAGTTGACACTTTATCAGTCCCTAATGATTGACTCTATTGTAGGCTATGGTATGAGTGATCCATGTAGTCATGTAGCTTTCTACCCCAAGAACAGGCGTGACCAGCCTGGTTATGATGTTTCTCAGACAGTTGACACTTTATCAGTCCCTAATGATTGACTCTATTGTAGGCTATGGTATGAGTGATCCATGTGGTCATGTAGCTTTCTACCCCAACAACCGGTGTGACCAGCCTGGTTATGATGTTTCTCAGACAGTTGACACTTTATCAGTCCCTAATGATTGACTCTATTGTAGGCTATGGTATGAGTGATCCATGTAGTCATGTAGCTTTCTACCCCAACAACCGGTGTGACCAGCCTGGTTATGATGTTTCTCAGACAGTTGACACTTTATCAGTCCCTAATGATTGACTCTATTGTAGGCTATGGTATGAGTGATCCATGTGGTCATGTAGCTTTCTACCCCAACAGCAGGCGTGTCCAGTCTGGTTATGATGTTTCTCAGACAGTTGACACTTTATCAGTCCCTAATGATTGACTCTATTGTAGGCTATGGTATGAGTGATCCATGTGGTCATGTAGCTTTCTACCCCAACAACCGGTGTGACCAGCCTGGTTGTGATGTTTCTCAGACAGTTGACACTTTATCAGTCCCTAATGATTGTGTTATATACATAGGCTATATATTATATTTACCATTGTAGGCCTATGTAAGACTACTCTGTAGGTCTATGTAAAACTACTCTAAGCTAAGCTCATGTGACTTCTTCTTGTTCACTACTACTTCCGTGTCATCTCCAAAATGTAGCTTTGTGCTCTGTAGTCTGTTGATTTTATTATCAAAATAAATCTTTTAAATCTACTTTGTGTAGTTATTATTTAGAAGCCCAAGAAGAATTAAGATGGTGTCAGAAGTTAACTATTTAGTTTGAACAGTGAAGTGTTTAGTATCAAGTGAATTTTCTTAGTGAATATTAGGTTAACCTCAAACCACACGATGGCAACTTTTCAAGCTCCACAAGCATTGGACCTTAGTGGCAACGTATCTGAAAATTGGAAAAGATTTAAGCAACGTTTTATGCTCTACTTGGAAGCCCTTGGATCCGACAAGATGCCCGAGGGACGAAAAATAGCTATATTGCTGACCACTATAGGTGATGCGGCTCTAGAAGTTTATAATACCTTCTCGTTTAGTGAGTCAACTCCCAAACTCGAAGAAGTTATAGGAGAATTTGATAAGTACTGTCAGCCACTAAAAAACATAATTTTTGAACGGTTTAAGTTTCACTCGTTGGGACAGAAGGAAGGTCAGTCGGTTGATTCTTACGTGACAGAACTGAAGAAAGCAGCATCCAACTGTGAATTTAAAGACGAAGAAGATATGATTCGAGACAGACTGGTGCTAGGGATTCGCGATAAAGTGATGCAGGAACGTCTGCTGCGAGATACAAGCCTCACTCTCAAGAAAGCCGTTGAGTTCTGCCGAACTTGTGAAACAAGTCAAAACCAGGTTAGAGAACTTCAAAATACAGTGGAGTCTATCAAAGTTACAGGTAGGCCTATGTCTAGTAACAATACTTCTAGGTTACCTTCTAAGGTAGGCTCAAAGCAACACAATGAATTCTTTTTATGTAAGAAGTGTGCAAACACCCATAGAGCTCGGAACTGTCCAGCCTATAACAAGAACTGTGCTTTGTGCAAGGACAAACATCATTTTGCTAAGTGCTGCCCTAATAAAGATAGACTTAAATTTAGTAACAAGGCTAACGGTAAACCGAAGAAGAAAATTTATGAAGTTGAAACAGACACTGCGACTGCGGATCAACTTGTTGAGGATGAAAATGCAATAGGCGTAGACTTTTTCAGTGAATCTGATGATCTCTTTGTTAACTCTCTAGAAAATAAGTCACCTGATAATGGTGAGAATAACAGTTTGAATGTTAATTCTGTACAAGGTCTAACAAAGCCTAACAAGTTAAATAATAGGGCTTGGTATGAAACTATTGTTTTAAGTGAAAATGATGAGGTTACTTTTAAATTAGATTCAGGCTCGGAAGCTAATGTGCTACCTTTGAAAACTTTTAATAGTTTGCTCTTTAAGCCTAAATTGCTGAGTACACCAACTGTATTGGTAGGGTTTGGTCAAAACTCTCAAGTTAAACCTATTGGTAAAGTACTACTTAACTGTTCCTCTCATAATGCGAACAATGTCAGTAATGTTGAATTTGTAGTAGCTGATGTCAATTCTGTTCCTTTACTAGGACTTGAAACCTGTGTAAAACTGAAGTTAATTGAAAGAGTGCCTATTAGTTGTAAGCCTGTTGTAAATGTAAATAGTATTTTTGTAAATCCTAAAGATAAAATTGTAAATCAGTACCATGATGTATTTGAAGGTCTAGGAAAATTTCCAGGCAAAGTTGAAATCAAACTAAAGCCAAATGTTGAACCGAGAATCTTTCCACCTAGGCGCATACCTTTAAGTTTAAATGAAAAGTTAAAAAGCACTTTGGATAGGCTAGATAAGCAGGGTATAGTCTCTAAAGTTTCAGAACCAACTGAATGGGTTCAAAATCTTGTGATTGTTGAAAAGCCTAATGGTAATTTGCGTCTATGTCTTGACCCTAGGGAAATGAACAAAAATATCAAAAGAGAGCACTATCTGATTCCCAAATCTGATGAAATTTTAAGTAAGCTACATGGTAAAAAAGTTTTTTCAGTGTTAGACATGAAAGAAGGATTTTGGCATCTTAGGCTAAGTGAAAGTAGTGCATTGTTAACTACCTTCCATACTCCTTTTGGTAGGTATTATTTTAATGTTTTGCCTTATGGCCTGTGCTCAGCACCAGAGATCTTTCAAAAGCATTGTAAAGAAATATTTGGGGATATTTCAGGATGTGAAATATATTTTGATGATCTTATTATTTTTGCTAAAGATGAAAATGAACATGACATGATCTTGAAAAAAGTACTTGACCGAGCTAGGGAAAAAAATGTTAAGTTTAATCTGTCTAAGTTCCAGTACAAAGTCCCTGAGGTTAAGTTCTTAGGTCAATTAGTCTCAAGTGATGGCATTAGGCCTAATCCAGAACATGTGAGAGCTATTGTCGAAATGGAAAGACCCCAAAACAAGAAAGAATTGTTAAGATTTTTAGGTATGACTAAGTATTTGTCACAGTATATTCCTAACCTATCGACTTTGTCAGCACCTTTGCGCAACTTAACTAAAAATGATACTGATTGGCAATGGTACCCAGAACATGAGAAATCATTTTGTGAGTTAAAGAGTAAGTTAGTCTCTGCCCCAGCATTAGCTATTTTTAATAGTTCTAAACCAGTAACCCTTCAGGTTGACGCATCAAAAGATGGCCTCGGAGCATGCTTGCTTCAAAATGGTCACCCTATAGGTTTTGCATCAAGATCATTAACTGATACAGAGACCCGTTATGCTCAAATCGAGAAAGAGTTACTTGCTATTGTCTTTGGCTTTGAACGTTTTCATCAGTTAACGTATGGTAGGCTAGTTACCGTACAGACTGATCACAAACCATTAGTTTCTATAGTTGAAAAAGATCTTTGTAAAGTGTCAGCTAGGTTACAACGTTTATTGTTAAGACTTTTGAAGTATCAGTTTAAACTCGTGTATGTACCTGGTAAATTGATGTTTATGGCCGATACATTGTCTCGGTCTTATTTGAAAGACCCTGTTACTGATGATCCAGAATTTTCTTTTGTTGTACATACTATTAGTAAATATGTGGCTATGTCTGAACAAAGGAAACAAGAATTTATTAAAGCCATTGATGAAGATGAAACTATGACTATGTTAAAAAAATATCACTTATTAGGTTGGCCCAAGTTCAAAAATGCGTGTCCTAAAAATGTACAGTTTTATTTCAATCTTAAACATGATATTAACTATGAAGGTGGTTTATTGTTTCTTAATGACAAAGTAATAGTGCCAACTAAACTTAGATTGAGTATGTTGAAGAAAATCCATGAAAGCCACCTAGGTGTAGAAAAGTGTAAAATTCTTGCCAGACAAGTGTTGTACTGGCCTAATATGTCTACAGATATAGAGGATTTTGTTCTAAAGTGTCAAACTTGTGAAAAGTTTAGGAGAAGTAATGTTAAGGAACCTATGTTAAGTCATCCTGTTCCATCAAGGCCATGGGAAAGAATAAGTGCTGATATCTTACAATTTGGTAATAATGATTATTTGGTTGTTGCAGACTCATACAGTAGATGGTTTGAATTGTGCTTGTTAAATGGTAAAACAGCAAAAAATGTAATAGATGTACTTAAACCAATTTTTGCTAGATTTGGCTCACCAGATGTTTTAGTATCTGATAACATGCCTTTTGGAAGTGTCGTGTTTAGAGAATTTGCGGATGAATGGAATTTTAAACTGGTTACTATAAGTCCTTTGCACTCTCAGTCAAATGGCCTTGCTGAAAAATTTGTCTCAGTAGCTAAGAATATGTTGAGGAAATGTAATGACTCTAAGAAAGACATTAACGTAGCTCTAATGTTGTACAGGAATACTCCCTTAAAAGATACAAAATTGTCACCTGCACAAATAATGTTAGGTCGGGTAGTCAAAACAACGTTACCAACTG